TGCTTTCCTGGTCTCCTCGGGAACGGTGGTTCTGTAAGTCTATTTCTACATTAAAACTATATATATTTTTACAATCTGTCTGCATTCGTTTACACCGCTACACCGCTGGACACGTGTAGAACTCCGAGTACTTTTGTAGGTTGTGAGGGCAGAAATCCATCTCCCCTGTTTATCACTTGATCATGTCTTTTGTTCTACAGGGGGCTCATTACTGGAGATTACCCGCAAAAACTCTCACAGCCCACCCAGAGCAATGACGAGAAATGCCCTCTCTCCCTTTCCAGTGGGTATGTGTACTTGCATTAGATTTTAATTCTAGAGACATTTTTGTTTTAGCAATACTTCTAAAGTATTGTCTAAAATGGTGAAAAATAAAACCTTTCATGACCATCAAGAAACAAAATCATGTGCTCACACATGGTATACATTTGATGTATTTTTTAGCCTAATATTGTTGCTCCTTTATAACTTCTGAGTCAGGGGCCATTGAGGTCGTGTCAAACAACAGCCTTGGGTTGGTGCCCTAGGTTCCCAACAACCCCAGATGTCTCCCTGTAAAGGAGCCTGAATATTGCTGATGAGAAGAGCTAGTTTCAGTTTGGAGATTTGATAAGGAAGCCCCAACTATCTCCTTGTAGATTCAGAGAACATGAAAGAATAGAATATTCAGAATTTCAAGTTCATTGGTTACATTGTTTATCACTTACCTCTTCTTAGTCATCTTTTACAACTTTTGAATAAAATATTAAAAATAATTTTAAACCACTTACAGTAGGAGCAATAAAACCATTTAAATATCATCTTAGTATTATTTAGAAAATTTATTCATTTGAACCCTGATGTCGATGGTGTAAAATATTTTTGTCACTTGAACATGAAAGATAACATGCTACTCTGTGGCTATTAATGGCCTAGTCATTACCTTAATTAGGTTAGCTTGAATCTTTTTTTTTTCCCTTGGAGAAGGCTCTTGCTTTCTTATGAGTTTATTCAGATACACAGAAAACAATAAAAGGTAGGTAGATTTCTATGTCTGGTATTACCCTATGCTGGATAGTTTTATGTTAACTTGACACAAGCTAAAATTATCTGAGGGGAGGGAACTTCAATTAAGAAAATGTCTCTATAAGATTGGGCTGTAGACAAGTCAATAAGACATTTTCTTCATTAGTGATTGATGGGGGAGGGCCCAGCCCATTGTGACTAATTCCATCCCTGGACTGGTGGTCCTGGTTCTGTAAGAAAGCAGGCTGAACAAGCCATAAGAACAACCCAGTAGTCAGCACCCCTCCATGACCTCTGCATCAGTTCCTGCTTCCAGATTCCTACCCTGTTGGAGTTTCTGTCCTGGCTTCCTTTGATGATAAACAGTGATAAGAAAGTGCACGTTAGATAACCCTTTCCTCCCTGTCTTAATCAATGTTCTATCGCAGTGATGAGACACCACGTCTGCAACACTTATGAAAGAGCACATTTAAGTGAGGCTTGCTTACAGTTCCAGCGTTTAATCCACTATCCTCACGGCAGATAAGCGTGGCAGCATGCAGGCAGACACGGTAGCTGACAGTTCTATGTCTGGATAGAAGGCAGAGGAGCCTGGGATTGGCTTGGCCTTTTGAAACCTCAAAGCCCATCCCCAGTGACACACTTCCTCCAACAAGGCCGCACGTCCTAATCCTTTCAAATAGTGACACTTTCTGGTGACCAAGAATTCAAATATATGAGCCAAAGGGGGCCATTCTTACTCAAACCACCACATTCCCCAACTTGCTTTTTGGTCAGGGTATTTCATCATAGCCATAGAGCCCTAAGTTGGAACCAGAATTGTGGGGTACTAATGTGACAGATGTGACCATGTTGTTTTTGGGCATGGGGGGATTGTAGAAAGACTTTGGGACTTGGCTAAGAAGAACCATTGAGTATTCTTCCAACACTTGGTGAGCTATTTTGTAGCTTGGAAGATAAGAATGTTGAGGACACTGCAGATGATAGAGGCCTGACTGGTGAAGTTTCAGGGGGAAGTTTAAAGACCCTATCAGGGCCATTTGTTATTTTGAATTAAGATCTTGTGGTTCTGGTTAGCTGGGGCTGAAGAATCAGCTGTGATTAACAAGATACCAGAACTACTGAAGTGAAATCTTTGCTTTGCTAGGATGCTTGATGCTGGTTGGTTGGAGCTAAGAAATTAGCGGTGGTTAAGAAGAGACCAGCATGACTGAGGCAAAATCTTTGGGGAAGTGTTTCCTGAGTCAGCACACAGAAGCTGTTCCAGAGGCAGCAAAGACTGTACCTCACAGTGGCAGCTGAAATTAGTACTGTGAGAATCACCCAGGTGGTACTGGTCCCGAAAGCATGAGGGAGTCATGGGAAGTATCTGAGGTTTGGCACTCTGAAAGGCCAGGAGAGGTCATTGGTGAAGATGTAGCCTCAGTTGAAGGTCCAGGATTGACAGGAACATGCAATGAAGTTGAGGCTTGGCACCATGATGACAGCCTATGAGAGGCTATTGGTCAAAGAGCAGCCCAGTTGCTACAGAAGACCCAGAGTTTTGGAGATGCAAGTACATGGGACGACCACCAAGAACAGCAACAGTTGTGGAGTGGAGCCAACTGGAACCTAGAAGACAAGCTGTGAGTGGTGCAGAGTAGAGTCAGAGAGGCGACCCAAGACCTCTGGAGGAGTCCAAGACTGTTCATGAATCCCAGACATTGAACACTGGGTTTTCACTTTGATTTGATTGTAACTGTGTCCTGGCTCTTCCTTCTTGAAGAAAGAAAGCATTTACTTTTTATTTTACAGCAGTCCGCAGCTGAGACTTTGAATTTTAAAAGATGTTGGTTTTAAGAGGATGACCATTTTAAAGAGGCTGAACTTTAAAATGTTTAAACTTGAAGAGTGGGGATTTTTAGTTATTTATATTTTTAATGTGCAATCTTGTGGATGAATGAGAAAAGAAGGGTTGTGGCTTAACTGTGATGTGTTTGTGTGTCAATTGGCAAGGGGTCAATTGTACTGGACAGTTTTGTCACTTGACACAAGCTGACATCATCTGGAAGGCTGGAGCCTCAATAGAGAAAACGCCTCCATAAGATTGTGCTGTAGGGAAGCCTGAAGGACGTTTTAATTAGTGATTGATGAAGGGCCCAGCCTGTTGTGGATGGTGCTGGCCCTTGCTGGTCCTGGATTCTATAAGCAGGCTGAGCAAGCCTTGAGAACAAGCCAGTAATCAGTGCCCCTCCAGGGCCTCTGCATCTGCTCCTGCCTCCAGGTCCCTGCCTTGCTTGAGTTCCTATTCTGATTTACTCTGCTAATGAACAGTGATATGGAAGTGTAAGCCAAATAAACCCCTTCCTCCCCAAATTGCTTTTGGTCATGGTGTTTCATGGCAGCAATAGAAACCCCAACCTAGATACACCTATCAACAATTATTTTCTGAGTACTTAGTAGTACATATTAATTATGCAAAATGAATTTCATATTTTCATCCATGTATATAATGTATTTTGATCATGTTTAACCCCCTCCCACTGACCCACTTCCTCTTCCCCATTCTCTTCTACTTACTTGTCTTCTTTGGTGCCCCATGAGCTTAATTAAAGGGTTTTCTATTTCAAGTTGTTGTTGATTGAATTCCTGATCCTACCTGCACTTCTCAAGTGCTGGGTTTCAGAGGGACTCCCCAACTCAGGTCAGTATTGATATTCTTGTTTGTGCATCTGTAAAATGGTGCTATTAACGCCTCTCTAGGTTCTGAGATTAAAGACTATGTACTATGCCAATAACCACACCTGGGGTGATTTGTACGAGCAGATTCTATAGTGAGAGACAGGAGGTAAACACTGAGCTCCCTCAGAAACAACTTGTCAGCTTCCTAACATGATTAAGTTCAACAGCTGCACCTGACTTTTGAGATTAACACTAGCTTCACCAGCAAAACTGTTCATTGGCCAGTTTCCAGTTGGTTAAATGTGAAACTCAGGGTTAAAAACTCCACTGCAGGGACTGAGATGCTATACAGCCCTCTAGCTCAGTTCTGTGTTGCCACTGGGTAATTTAAGAATGTGACTTATAAATCAGGTGGTGGTGGTGCACACCTTTAATACCAATTTAGGAGGCAGAGGGAGAGGCAGAGGCATCTCTGTGAGTTTGAGACCAGCCTGGTCTACAAGAGCTAGTTCCAGGACAGGCTCCAAAGATACAGAGAAATCCTGTCTCAAAATACAAAAACAGCACCACCAACAAAACCCAAACAAAAAAAATAATGTGACTTCTACTTCATTATATTGACAATACAATAGGAACCATATATGACAGGTTGTAATTTTCTCTTGACAGGCAGAATCATTGTAAATCTTTTATCAAACTACTTTAGGATGCTGGTTCGTAAGAACCAATTCGGGGGCCAGTGAAATGATTCAGATAAAAGTATCCTCCAAGCTTGACTACCTGAGTTGAAGCAAGGAGAGAATCAACTCCACAAAGCTGTCCCGTGACTACCCCCATGCTATGCCCCTCCCCCACACAAACAGAAGGTAGATTCATCAGTTAGGCATGGATTATTTCTGTGGCTGCACACTTGCCTGGCAAGCACAAGGCCCTGGGCTGGTTACAGTTATAAGCAATCCCTTAAGGTAAGGATGGAAGCATTCTATGCTTCTAAAGCAGACACTGCCTTGCTTGCCTCAATTCTGTTCCAATTGTAGAGAACCAAAGCTCAAGCCTTTAGGGCTTACCAAATTTCCCAGGGCAGAAATAACTGAGTGTACCTTGAAAGGTATCTCTAAACTTAGACGGACATAATTGGCTTCCCATTCCTGACCTTACCTACTGGAGGTATCTCGCTTCTCTGAGAAATTCAACTACTTTGAATATTAAGTGCCTCCAAAAGTAAAACGTAGTTACATAAGATATTTCAACATTTTCTCTTACGACCAGACTCTTGAGACAAAAACATTCATTCAGACAGACACCCTCCCACTCCAGCAAACTGAGTTTTGTGGTAAACTGTCAACATTTTATTTTATTATTGATGTAAGCATGTGATGTCAAAGTAATGGAGGTAATTTTACACACTCAGAATTTTCTAAGTACTTAAGCTTACCACTGACCTTGAAATAAACAAACATTCCGAAGGACTAATCCTTAATGACTGGGACGGGAAGCAGGCCTCAGGCAGTGACTTCAGTTGTCAATCTACACTGAGATATTTTGCTGAAATTCTGATACAGCAGTTATAAGTGTGAATCCAAACGCTGAGGACAGTACATGCATGAAAAGCTTCCCCAGCCTGTCTCATGGACTTAGCCTGACAGAAGCAAGACAAGTCTTTTTGTAAGTTTACATGTAGTTTCCACAGATGCTGCCTTAGACCTCTTTCTAATGTACACATCATCCTGACTCTGGTTCCATGTACTACGCTTTAGAGCCATCTAGGTCCATAGGTAGAAGAACACACACATACTGGCATGGCAGTTGACAAGAGCAGACTGTTAAAGCAAAGTCCGGTTGTGCTGGTGCAGCCCTGTGGGAAATTCTCCTCCAGAAAGCAGATCAGAAAAGACCTGCTAAGGAGAGCAGTGGAAGAAGAGTCAAGCAGGCAGAAGTGAACCACTGTTCTTCCCCGGGTTCTCTTCCTTGTTTTAAAGGTATACAGTATTACGAGAACTCAGTAGTCACACTTTCAACAATCATGGTCTAATGTTGCTCCGCTTCTTCTTGCTTCTTATTTTGACGTATTGTCCTTGCTGCCTGTGGTATCATGTTAGGGATCCCGTCAATGATTGGATATGCTATTCCCAACTCTTCATTAATCAATTCATTTGTTGATGCTTCATATCTGAGGGAGAAAAAGAACACAATGAACTGTGAGAAATCAAAGGTCAGAAGATCTTGATAATCAATAAATAGACCATCCATCCAATTCTTGATAGCTACTCCTCCAGCAGTTTTATCTTACATGCACTAAGCCAACCCAACCATTTCTCTTAGAAAACCATGTTACAATCTGTAGTTATTCCCACTAGAATCAGTAATTTCTCCTATTATCTTTTATAAACGTTATTCCCAAGCTATGCCTTAACATTTTCATACTACTTAGAAAAGATGTCTACATTTTATGCCAGTATTCCTTCCTTGCTATGGTCAACCCCGAAACACTCCAAAGGGAAGAAACAAAAACTTCCTCTGTTGATGTAAATGCTAGGGAGACTTTTATGAGACAACAGAAGGAAGTCACTGAGAATCAACAAATACAAATAAAAGCCTGGGCGGCGAGAGGGCACAAAGGAAGGAAGTCCGCAGTGAGCTAGCTACATAGGTAGACAGTAAAGCAAATGGTGATTTCAAGATTTAAGGAAACCGAACAAGTTCTTCACTACAAAGGAACCAATCTAGAAGGTGAAAATGATGATAAAAATCTCTAGTAACATGCAATCTGAAGATAACCACGTTTTATCATTTATGCATCTTGTTAATGCTGTCTATTATTCTGTTTCTGGAGTCTGGAACTGTGGGTGTATTTCCTCCCCAAACCAGCTGGAGGTTAAACTTTAATGAAAACCAGCTAGGCCACAACTAAAACCATGGGACAATGCACAGTCAGATCAAGAGTGCCAGACATCAGGTGTATAGGTACAGCACTGGAAGATACTATAATTTTTTATTGTGTATTAAATAGTGACTAGTTCTGGATGTCTCCCGCGTCTCTATGGTTCATATGCGTGGCCGAACACTGGAAACAAGAGATGGGGGTGGGGTGGGGAGGGGCGTTCACTCCTGTAATCTGCTCTCAGGGAGCACAGACAGGAAGAGTACCACAACTTGCTAGCCTGGGCTACATAAAGAGTTCCAGGAAGGGCCAGACAAAATATCCAAACCTGTCTCAAAACAAACAAACAAACAAACAAACAAAACAAAACAAAAAGCAAAGATGAAAAAGGCTGGGAAGATGTAGGTAGGTCAATAAAGTATTTGCAATGTAAATGCAAGGAACTAAGTTCTGATCCTCAGTAAGTGTGTAAGCTTATTCCTGCGCAGTGATGTGAAGCCCCAGCTCAATTCGCCCCGGGTTCTGAGATTCCTTCCTAAAATAAATTGGGGAAAGACTGAAGACAACGAATGCACGGTGACCTTTGGCTTCTGACGCAGCGCGTGAACTCTCACACACAGAAAAAGGAGACAGAAGGAAGGGAGAGACACGGCGGGGGCAAGGGTGGAGAAGAAAGGGGAGAAGAGAGTGAGAAAGAAAGGAAGAAAGGTCCAGACGCTGGCCCTAATACTCTGCTTCAACAGGCTCTGGTGACGCCAATCTGAGAAACCCTGTCTTTCTTGGAGACCCTGTGGGTCCAGGACTGACTGACTGTAAGGAGCAGCCACTGCAGAGCCCGAGAAACGCCCGGCTCCCGTCACGGGCGGGCCTGACCCCAGCAAAAGGGCAGCCCGGCGACCCGCAGCCAGGGAGTGGGCTCTGGACCTGCTGGCTGTGGCCGCTGGGCCACCACCCTTCCCCGGGGTACAGGCGGCGGCGACTCTCACCTGAGCGGCTTCTTGGAAAGCGGACACACGAGGAACTGCAGCAGTGCGGGGTGGAAGGTGCGGGGCTCCTCCGCCTTGTCGCTCCGGTCAGCGAAGGACCTGACCCCAGGCGCCAGCAGATACCTCCCGGAGACCGCAGACGATGCGCGCGGCCCCCGCAGCGCCGGGGTGAGCCTGCAGCACGCGGTGACCAGCATGACCGCGCCGAACTCCGACGCAACTCGCTTCCCCCACACCGACCCGCCGGGTCACCCTGGCCAGGCCCCGCCCCCTCTGCGCTCTGCCGGATGCAGCCCCAGGGCAGCCAGCGCTGCAGCTGTGGTTCCGGGAGCAGGACTGACGTTCCGGGGTCAGTGGCTGCGCCTTTGCTTTTACGAAACTGTGAACCAAACCACTGCTCATTCGGGTGTCCAACTTTTCTGTAAGGCTAATCACAGATGCCAGGGGCCAGACTCCGGTCACACAGTGCTAGGCTTCGACTCGGGTGGTTATCTTCAGAGTCTTCAAGCACAGGCGTACTGTGTTAGAAGCAACAGCTTTTTTTTAAAATGTTAATCCTTTTTCAGTTTTCGTCTCCATTCAGAAATTTAAGAACCTGAAAAGAATGGCTTTATTCTCGTACTCTGTAAGCCGTGAAGGCTTTTAAAACCTAGGTTTGTTAACTGTGACTACCGTGATAAAGCACAACTAATTCATTCCTGTAAGCCGACTAGCTCTTCCCAACCTGTGAGAGGAGACTCTGTGGTCCAGTGACTTTTTCGCAGGGGTTGCCTAAGACCGTCGGAAAATACATATTTACATGACGATTCATAGAAAAATTACAGTTTTGAAGTATAAATGAAAATAATTTTATGGTTGTGCCGGTGGGGGGGGGGGTCACCACAACATAAAGAACTGTGTTAAAAGGTCACAGCATGAGGAAAGTTGAGACCCACAGCTGCAAGAAGGCTGTCTAGGAAAGGAAGCAGACATATGTCCCTTAGTCAAAGGGTCTACTAGCTTGGGTTTTGACTCCAACTTCTCATGGGCGTGATGCCTGTTTGATTTCCCTTATACAGTTGGGAGGTAGGCAAGAAGTTGGGCCCAGACAGTTCCACATTTCTAAGACAGACAACTCAATTTCCTTATTGGTATAATAAAATAATTCAGTTTCCTTATAGGTATAGTAAGATCAATACCTGTTCTGACTGTGAACTGAAGTTGGGGTGAGCATTGGGGGGACCCTTCTCTATTTAAGATTCTATAAGACTAGCCTGCTGTGGTGGTGCACACATTTAATCCCAGAACTCAGGAAGCAGAGGCTGCCAGGTCTCTGAGTTTGAGAGTGTGAGGCTAGCCTAAGCAACACAGAGAAACCCCGTCTCCAAAGAAAAGAAAAAGATTCCACAAAGCTGGTGGGCAGAATAGGACCCTCCATGATTGTGGAGAATTGGAATGTTCCAGGCCCTGAGCCAGATTTTCTTCAGCTGTCTTTAGATGCCTTATTAGCCATTCACTGCCTACCTCTGCGTCTGACCTAACATTCCGTTGGGAATGTACTACCAGCCCACTGTCAGCTAATGTGAAAGAGAATCCCTAGAAGGAAGCCGTGTCTGCACAGACTGGCTGACTCGTTAGAGCTTCAGAGATGGGAAGAAGCTGAAAGGCCTCAAGTCCAGAGCCAGTGTGTATTGGGAGCATCTTTAGCCCCCTTAGGAGCCACTTAATACTCTCCTCTGTACATGACCTGACACTTTTGTGGCCAAAAGAATATATGAACAGAGCCCTAGTTTCCACCCATCAGAAGAATCTGCCAGACAACAGCTAGGGTCTATCACAGTTTCCTTGCTTGGCTGTAGCCCACCTGCCTGATGTACCCACTAATATATTTTATGACCTTTAAAAAAACTTCTAATAAAAGTTCATAAAATTGCTACTGAGATAGGATTAGAGGGACATAGGTAGGCAGGAAAAGTGAAAATGGCTCCCTAAGATGGTGGTTTCTTTTTCCCAGACAAAAGTGGACTGGGCGGTAGTGGCACACACCTTTAATCCCAGCACTTGGGAGGCAGAGGCAGGTGGATCTCTGTGAGTTTGGAGCTGGTCTGGTCTACAAGAGCTAGTTCCAGGACAGGCTCCAAAAACTACAGAGAAATACTGTCTGAAAAAAAAATTAAAAAGGACAGCATAAGGGTATGTATTTAAACAGGACCAGTAGAGGAAAGGGGAGAACCCAAGGGCCTCATAAAACACCCAACTGAGGGTTTAGCATGTTCCCAGCTTCCGGGTTTCTCCATCCCAAAGGGAGCTCTTTGCAATAAAGATGCCACTTTTGCTTTCTCCACAGCTCTGCCTTGTCTTTCACTGACATTCAACTCCTTGTCATCCCATAGGATGAACTCAGAGACTCCCTAAATGACTACCAGCACCCCATTACATCTCTTGGAGGTTCGCCTGTGATTTGAGAAGACCTCTACTCAAGATAGCTATACCTTACTAAAAACTACAATGGACTCAGAAGTGGTCATGATCTTCTGGCACTCCGAGGACCTCTTTTGGAGTGAGGGAACCCTGTGTCCATGATTGACATGGTTTGAACCCCAGGTCAACCCCCACCTCTACTGGGAGTAAGGAGAGTAGGGGGATCTGGCTCTGATACAATAGCACGCTGTCATCTCAAATGACTAAATGGAGTCTTCTCCTTCAAAAACTAGGGTGAGACTATTAGAACTCAAGAGACATTGCAAACTGGACCCCCGAGAAAACAAACATGTTTCCAGAGAGAGAAGAGGGCAGATTTTTCACTTGATACACCTGGAAAGGTCTGTGGGCAAAGTAATTTCTTGATTGATCCCCTGGCTTTTGAGCCCCCGAGAATGAATGGACAACTGTAGTCCCCTGAGGATAGGCTGTCTGGGGGGGAAGGAGCAACTCACTCAGTTCTCTGTTTCTCAAGCCGCTCTAGCACATAAGCGAGTCCTGAAGATTTCTGATGTACTGAAAAGAAAGTGATGGCAAGCGTGCCTTGGAGGTGGGTCGTGCCTGGAATCCAAGTGGGGGCGGCTAAGAGTGAGCTACTGTGTAGGAAATCTTTTCTGGCTGCTGGCACTTCTTTGGGGCCTTAGCTGCTGTGGTGAACCCATATGGCTACTGAAGACTTGTCTTTGCTCTTCCTTAGAGCTCTCAAAAAGTACAAATGTTTCCACTTAAAGCTTTGTCACTATATGTGGCATGTGAAGGAAAGGACATAGGTGTCAGGATGAGGGCCTCACTTAGCTGGATTGTCTGGCAAATGACAGCTCTGACCTTACAAATACCCCCCCCCCCCCCCCCCGCGCACACCCTTTCTTCAGCCCGGGCTCCATTGTGTCCCTGAGTGTGTGTAAAGCTCTCTGCTGTCTTTGCAAAAGACACTGGGCTCTGGAGGTCCCCCAGCTGATGTGGGAGTGCGGAAGAAAATGGCAAGGATTGTTAACAGTAAGGCTGTGGGTGGGATGCAGCAGAAGGCTTGCTCAACGTGTGCTAAGGCCTGAGTTCTAGTCCCAGCACTGAATAATACAAGTTGCAGCTAACATCTCCACAGTCTGGGTGTAGGCTTTATGCCAGCTGAACAGACTTCTTGCTCGGTGAAGTTTACACGGATGCTGTGGGTCCCTGTGTTTCCTAACCATTGCCAATAAGGGAAGCATCCTCCAGAAGCAATGGGCATGGGGTGCACAAGTTGTACCAGAAACTACTCATTGGGGTTAGGCTGGGTGTGGTGGCACATGCCTTGAATCCGAGCACTCAGGAGGCAGTCACAGACAGATTTCTGTACATTTGAGGCCAATCTAGACTACAGAGCAAGTTCTAGGACAGCCAGGGCTATACAGAGAAACCCGGTCTTGAAAAACTAATACCCCAAGCCCCAAAACAAAACAAAATCAAAAAACAAAACAACAACACTGGAGTCTGAAGTCGAACTTCTGGGTTCAGAGCACCTTGGGTGGTTCTCCTTCCACATGCTCACTTTCTATGGCTATGAGGGGGTTGGTGGTGTCCAGTTTCACTAAATAAATCCATTACTCTGCCCCCAGTGCAACCTTCCCATCACAAACCCCACTCCTTAGCCTTTCCAGCCTGGTTGCTATGGCAAGGGGAAGTTGGAGGACACCGTTGTCCTAGTAGCCAAGAGTGCCCTTGCAGTTACCCACTGGCTGAACCATGGGCCCATCTATTCTGATGATCCTTAAGACTCTGGCCACTGTCCTCTCAATTAGATACTCCCTACTATACAGGTCTTTTCCTGTTGAGGATCCAACCTCTCTGTGACTGATATGCTTCCTACAAGAAATTAAATGTCAAATCAAGAGGTTTGAGGGTTGGTGGTATCAAAATTATCTTGGATGTAGAGGTATAGCGGACCTAAACTTGAATCAGGGACAAGAGAGTAATATGCCCTGAAGAAAAACCAAAAAGAAAAAAAGAAAAAGAAAACTGGGATGTGACAGGAGACTGAGCCATGGGTCAGTGTGGAAATCCCACTACCTGCTCTGGCCTCTACCCTGGACAGGCTAAACTGCACCCATTGTCCCTTGTTAGCAGGTGGTCTAGGTAGGAAAGAGCAACCTTGACCCAAGACCTCTCTATCTTTCCTCCTCCATCTCCTTGTAGATGGGACAGACAGGTTCCAAGATCCCTCCAATGTCTCCACTCAGCACCCTTGTCCAACAAAGCTCAGAATTAGACCCTCAACCCAAAATCTCTGTCTTTCTTTTGTCAGAAGACATAGCTCTTAGCTGATGACAAATAAATAAATAAATAAATAAATAAATAAATAAAATGGCCACCTCAATGCACCCTCAGTTATAATACTATCCTTCAAATGGATCAATAATGCAAAAGAGAAAGAAAATAGGCCCAGGTCCCCTTTGTTCAACTTTTCTCTTCTCTTCAAGACTACCCAAAAGTGGGTCACAATTATCAGCTAGATTCCACTATTTTGATGGTCTATGTTTCTACTTCTCTACCTGAAATAAGGCGATCACATACATACCCATATATCTCTGCCACCTGAGTCATCGCACCCTGGCTCCTACAAAAGCCATGTATTACCATCTGACCTACCCTGCCTCTCCTGGAGCCCTATCCACCATACACTAAAGGTCCTGGAAGAGTTCAACCCAAAGATCCCAAACCTCACTTCCAGAGGCCCCTGGAATGATTTCTTTGAAGGAGTTGATGAGAAAATTCACACCCTCCTATGGTAACAGTGCCTTTTATTAGCAGAGCTTAAACAACACAAGAATGCACTTACCAAGCCCTGCTCTGGTGT